AAAACATTTACCATTTTGGTATGTTTAGGAAGGCCATGTTCTGTTTCTCGTCCATTATTTGTGCAGGGAATCCCTTGATAGCACTTTTCGAAACTCAAAACAAAAAGGTATGTTGAATTGTTTTTTTTATAATAAATATGGATGCTCTCTTTTTCATAGACATGTGTTTTATTCTGAAGAAAAAAATCAGTTCGATGATTTTGATTCCTTTCCTTGTATATATGGCTTTTATTGAACAAGTCTTCGAATGAGATCTGAAAAACCCGTCGTTTGAAGTTTTTTTTTCTCACAATTTTTGACAGTGGTTGGATATTAGGTCTATTTAGTGCGTTTGATAGTTTTGAGTACAATTTTGACATCCATAGCTAACATTAGATTTCTGGTTTTGGTTAAGTTGACAACTTACTTTCATGTTTTCTTAATTTTTTTCCACAGATTAGAAGCAAGGTGCTACTTGATTTACAAAACGTAAAATGGTATGGCATTGGACATCTGAATATTCAGTGGAGATTCTCTTTTCAACTATATTAGATTACATCACAACTTTCAATTGTGGACTTTTGTTGATCTCATTATACTGCTCAATCTTGTTGGGGCCTTGCTTTTTTGCTGACAAATTTCCTTTGATTCTTTTACCCTGAATGAGTGAATGACTACCAGCTGCTGGTTGTGCACTATGTACTGGCTGAACTACTTCGATTCTATTCTACTTATATGCTGACCGGGGTACCACAAAAGTGGCAAATTGGGTGGCGAAGGTATTAAGCAACTTACAATATCAGGCATTGATGGCCTCACAAAAGATGCTGTAAGAATTTTACAGTTGTTTTATCGATTTAATTTACAATACAGCGTTGGCAGGCCGAGAAAGTTACAGATTTTTGTATGTAAAATTAACATTAAGTTGATCCATCGTTATATATGGACGATAATATTATTTCAGGTCAGTCTCGAACTTCATCTCATGTTACTTTTCATGTATGGGTTGCAGGCTAAACAAATTGCTGCCTTCTAGAAACTGCATAAATGGTTTTGTGAAATTGATCCACCGTTCTTATGTTTCTTTGGCAGATGGATTATCTATCGACCCTGCAAATGCGCGTTGGTTGGCCTGGAAAGTTACAGACTTTTGGTAGTAAAATTCTTGAACTTTACATTGATCCACCGTTATATATAGATGATTTTTTTTTT